GCTACATCTGTGCTATCTATGCAGTATAAATAACTTAGCATGATAAAGAGACCACTCTCAAACAAAATTTTAATTTTATTTCAAGAAGGTGGGCGAGCATTACTTGTAGCTGTGATATGTAAAGACACGCCTGCTAGTGTGCGTAACCTAGCAGTAGCCAGGCCGTCGTTGAACAATATACCTAAACAATATGCACACAGTAACAATGTGCACAAGTTACTTATACAGTATGCACACTGTAATAATGTGGATATGGGATAGAAATGATGTAATATCCTCAACCGACCGAATTTTGGTCATGGCGGTCTGAGTTAGTCGAAGACTAGCCATCTGCACAGGACAGAACTATAGTGCACAAGTCTGTGCGTAAGCACAAATACACTCGCTATTACCTCACTCTCGTAGTCAAAATCAACGTTTGCCAAGGTACTGGGTGAAACACAGCCAAATTTCTGACTCAGGCGGCTACTGAAAATTTCTTGGCAGAAAAAGCCATTAACCGATTTTATGACCCGGTTTCCTCGGAAGTAACGACCACCCTTTTCACAATTTTTTATAGAGAGGTGCCAAATGCTCGTTTGTCATCTTTCCTATAATGCGGCTCACCTGATGGAAATGTAACTACCGCTGACCATGGTTAACTGTAACAATAGCGAAATTACAGGCGGCTCTTATCTTAAAGGTCTTTAACTCGTATCAGTCCAGAAAATGCCGGTAGCCGATTCCACAAATAACACATGCGATGAAGAAAACATCTGATAAATCACATAGTGGTGCACCACCGGGCATCCAAGGTGGCGTGGAGATTTTTTTATAGAAAAGGAAACAAACGGTCATGCGGTTTACCTGTTATTAAGTGATTACCACCGCCCATGAACAACTGCAGCACCAAGGGATTGCAGTTGCGTTACCGGCCTTTTAGAAAGAAGTACGATCTTTTCTTGTAGGTTCCTAAGTCGTATCGGTCTGGAAAAATCGCCAGTGGTGTTAAACAATTCCGCAAAAGGGTCGTACGAGGAAAAAACTCCTAGTAAAACGTACAGTGGTGGACCGTCAAGCATCCAGATGGTGTGGTATTATGAGTTTTGTCCCGATGTGCGTTCAATTTAGCGGCTGAAATTAATTCGAACAATTCTTCAAAGCACTTCGCATGGTAGATGCGATTGAATATGCAAAATATGCAACATCTTTTCGCAGCGCCAGTGTATCGAGCCGATCTGAGAGGATTCGGTCGTCGACGATCTGAGCTGTTTCACTCTGCTGCAAATCTAAACATCCTTTATATGCTGTCACCATGGATTTCAATACTGTCTGGGGCAATAAGCGGAGTATCTTGAAACTGTAAAGATACGCCATAGGGGTTTGCTATAGGGTTTAGCGGTAAACACGCAAACTTGTGTCTTGTGGCGATTGAAATGGACGAGATATAGTCATCCTCAATCCGAGACTTTAATCAACAATGACAGGCACTGGTTTATTCCGGTACGTTTTCCTGAGAAATATTGACACGGCTGGTATATACGAAGTCACCAGTGCTATCATCCGCATAGCAATGAATGTTACCGGTTTTGCTACTTATCATTGATATGCAGAAGAAATAGCGTTGGTGATAGCACGCAGCCTTGTGGAACACTGGCGTTTATAGGCTCGCAATCGGAGAATACATCTTTTGCTACGACCTTGATGCTCCGATCAGACAAAAAACTGGTGATCCAATTACAAAATGTCTCGGAAAGCCTATAAGAAGTAAAAAACGCCTAGGGAGTAGGATTACCGGAAAAGACGCGTTAGAACTGGTGCCAACTTTGGTGCACACGTCTTCAGCACAATTGGGGGATTCCGTCAGGCCCACTCGACTTGTAGATGTCCATTGAGAGGAGTGTTTTACGTACTGAGCACGGCTTTCTCTTTTGAGACGTAGGCTAGTGAATCGTCATCCCTGTGCAGAGATGGTAGTGATGACTTAAAGTAATTCCCTTGGACAGAATCCCTTAGCGAGAGACCAGCATGCGCGGGTTCCCGAAGGAAGGTGAACTAACATCTCGCCAATGCTCCCAATGTCCTCATACTTTGCCTTGGCAATAACTCCTTTGCAGGACCTGGAGGCGAAGTTATACTTCTTTTTAAGCTTGCCGGTATTTACATCCCAAGCCACAGAAGCGTAAACCCAGGCCTGATAACACTCCTGCTTACTGCGTAACAACGTACAGGAGCGATCAAACCAAGGTTGGGATCTGCATCCAATGGGTATTACAGATAATGAAACAAAAAGTTCCACTCCCTGTAGCACCACATCAGTGGCAGGGTCAGCAACGGCTCTGTTATCGTCTAGCAAGAAGCAAACGCGCCCTCAGGGGTATGATGCAAAGTAAAACCGCTTTCCGTCCCGATCCGTTAACCTGTAACGCTAAACACGATGGCAGCATCGAAGACGCAACCACGAAGGGAGCTTTAGCTTTCGTGAATGCTTAGCGAGGGTTTCTCCATTACCAGGTGTGTTGGTACCCTCCTGGGGTAGTTTCTCATTTAATCCAGCTACCATATTGATAGGGAGGGAGAGGGTTGGAGTAAATGAGCCCCTGGCCACTTGCATTCATCAGACGAAATGCTCAAGCAGAGCTTTTACTTGACGCTGGTATTCTGTGAGTTCGTGGTAGTATATGTGAAGTAGCACTCTTCGTGATAAATGCGTTAGAAAATACAAATAGATGCAACATTTCTTCGTAGCGCCAGTCAAACTTGCCGATCAGAAAATCAGGGATGCCCCGGCCCAGAGATGATAACAGTATTGTCAATGTCACCTTATTCTAAATAATATAAATTACGGTAAATGTAAATGTAAACCAGGAACTGTAATACCGATATTTTGCAAGTATCGACATTGGATTATCGATATAGATACTGATATTTAGGTATCGGCTTATCGATATATGTATCGATATTTGAATGATATTGAAAAAATATCGGTACTTTGAGTCAGTGTATTGGTATAGATACTGATATCAATGTATCGAAACAATAAAAATAAATTCCCGGTTCTCGCGTCTGATTTCCTCTCTCTAATAACAACGGTCATAAGTAAGGTAGTAGTAGGATTATACGTGAGTGTGAAAACAAACTCAGTCATCGGCGCAGCAAATTCTAAATTCCGTTTGCCCAAATTGCGTACAATGCAAAACATTAGATAAAAGAAATTATCATTTATGCCAATTACTGATGAGAGTTGCAATTTTTACACCCTTGTACGAGAACCGTTGTATATTGCCATATTTTAAAAATTGTAGATGTACTAAAAGGAAGTCATAGTAAGGACGATATAAAAGTCATCCAAGTGAAACCAGTAAATCATAATTAAAATACGTAAGTGGTTAAGGAGTGTTAAACACTTCAGGAATACTTCTGCAGTCGTGCCGCATAAGGATTTTAACAATTTCCGATCAACGGGTATGTTAGACTATCACTTACAGCTCGTATAAGTTTGAAAGAGATGAAGATATATACTTAGTAGAGCCACGATGCAGCTATAATACGGTTATAGCACGGTGAAGAACTAGGCATTTATTTGCAAGCATTCCAAAAACGCTACGGGCGGTTATTTGCTTTTAACTTCATTTTGAATTATTATATGCCAAGATCACAATCTGTATTCTGTCTGTACTTTTATTTCAGTATCAGGTACGTAGCTACCGCCGTATCAGCCGTATCAATGATACAGGCCCCCGGGCTACAGTGGCTCTGAACGTGTGTAAGGAAAAATTCGTAAAATGTTATCCACAATCTCACTTAAACTCTTAGGCTGTATTTCCTGAGAAAAAATAACATATCGTCAAATGGGTACTATTTGATGCGATTTTTACGTGCCTAAAGAAGTGTCAAAATTGACCAATTTTCTGTAGATTTTCGATACATCACGATAACAGAAAATTATGATAATGTACCTAAAGAAATAAAATCTGTGAGTTCTTTTAGGGTTCATAACAGTATCCAATTGTAGCGCAGGACTTAAAACTTTAATTTTATATACCATAAAAGAATATGGATTTGATTTATCTAAATGTAGAGGGCAGGGTTACGATGGAACAAATTTCATGTCGGTTGTATATAAAGGATTACAAACCCTTATAAAAAGCATGCCATAAAGGTCGATTATGTTTACAGTGCAGCACAAGCAATAAATTTAATTTTAAACGATGCTACGAGACGTGCTCCTGAAGTGCCAATTTTTTTCGATAATTTGGAAAAAATACGGCTATTCCGTTTATCCACCCTAAGAAATCCACCCTAGAGTGGATACACGAAAACGCGTGTTTGTCTATCCACCCTAGACTACAGAATAAATAATAATAATAGTAATAATAATAAAAAGGCGTAGGGAAGTGATGACCCCATCGCCCGCTGACGTAACAGTTATGTGACAAAACCGCTATGTCAGAGCAGTCAGTCAGCGTCTTGCCAAGAGGTGTAAGTGCCGTGCCTCGGCAAAAAATGAAGGTGCAAAGGCCCGTTTGTGCTTACTGGCCCCACCATGAAAAACGGCGCCGGGCCTGGGCGTCTCCCGTTAAATGGCTCCCACTTATATGGATGATGGAATAGATTGGTAGAACGCGCAAAGGGCCGCTGCCTGGAGGTCGCCGGGGCGCGTCTGGAGCTGGCGCTGGACGCGACAGCATGCAAACCGCCAGCCGAGCGAGAGGTGCTGCACGACCACCCATCATCATCCATCATCCATCATCCCCACCATCTGGTTTGGTGTCGGCAGGGTCCTCGCGGGCCCAGCAATCGGTACCCACCACTGGCGGAGTACGCCGATGCGTTGGACAATCAAAATGAATACAAACGCAATGCGGCGTATTTTAGGGCGAAAGCGGGAGAAGTTGCGGGGTTAGCGTATCGGGCTAGAATGCATTGTCTTTTTGCTGAGCTGGAGCCGTCTATAACCGTCACCGAGCAAAACCTGGCAGACTGAGTTCGGTATATCTTGCGCTCGAATATATTTGATGATGCCGAACTCGAACGGCTACGACGTGAGTTGCCTTCCTTCATCGGGTGAAAATGCTACGGCTGAGGATGCGGCGCCACAACTTGCAGAGCAAACGGCAAAAGTGGATACCGCCGTGAATACCCCAGTTGTGGTTGATTCTAACGATGATGGAACAATCGCCCAGGAACTGGAACTAGAGCAAATGAGGAGTACATTGGAAGAGGCGATTGTGATTGGAAAAGCGCAGTACGCCTCTCGAAAATCGACCGCGACTTCCCCGCATAGCCCTAAGCAAGCGGAATCGGGCTGTCGTGAGGGCTCTGAACCCAATGCTGGTGACCTATTTGGAAGCCAGCCGGGACCTTTGCGAGACGGACTCAATTCTTTTTGGCGCCGCACTGGCAGTCTGCCGTATTATAGGCGCCAAACTCTCCACGGCTGGACGCGCTACTGGACAAAGTAGTGCTAACCCAGCCTGGAGAATAAGGATTGAAGAACGTATCGCAAAGGCTAGGGCCCTCATTGGCAGACTGATATGCTTCAGGTCAGGCAATACCAGGCCAAGAATTGTGCGCACGGTCAGGATGGCGTTTGCTGGGACAAATGTTAGTTTGTCCCAGCCGGATATAACGCAAAAACTGACGGAGCGCGTAGACGACCTGAAGCAGAGAATCACTGCTTGGGGAAAGCGGATTCGGCGATATACCGAGAGGTCTATACGGTTCAACCAGAGTCGTCTCTTCCAGAGTGATCAGAAGAGGCTCTATAAATCATTGGAGCGACCAATGGTAAGTAGAACGAGCCTAGCACCGAAGTCGCATTCTGGCGCAGCCTGTGGTCAGAGCCCGCAAACCACAGTGAGGGCCCTTGGACGGAATATGTGGCGAGTCAGTGTGCGGGTATAACGCACATGGACCCCGTCCTCATAACGCCGGATTACGTAGCTGAAGCTGTCCGTAGGGCCCCGAACTTGAAAAGTCCGGGGCTTGACGGGCTGCATCACTACTGGAAGGGGTTCATGGTGTGTCACCGAAAGTTTCAAGAGGCTCTCAACCAGAAGTCGCTCCCAAGCCTCTTCACTACTGGTATCACTCATTTGGTTCCTAAAGACCAGGGTAACACAGACCCGAGCAAACACCGCCCCATCAGGTGTCTACGACCAATATACAAGACACTAACATCCATTTTGAGCGCGAGAATCACTCGTCACCTGGACTCAAATCAGGTGATGTCGCGCGCTCAAAATGGATGTCGGAGCGGCGGTCGTGGAACCAAGGAACCACTCCTCATTGACGCGGTCATGGGCAAAGTGGTGAAATGCAACCGTGGAAACTTCTCCGCCGCCTGGATAGACTACAGAAAGGCGTTTGACTCGGTGCTCCATACGTGGCTAAAGAGGGTTCTCGAGCTGTACAAGATTGACTGTACAGTTGGAGACTTCCTCGGGCAGTGTATGGGGCAGTAGAGTACGATCCTCTGTCATCTAGGCGAGTGGATGACAACTGCTGAAAGCCGCATAAGGATAAGAAGGGGTATATTCCAGGGCGACTGTCTGAGTCCAATATGGTTCTGTCTCTCTTTGAACCCTCTCAGTACTTTACTGGAGGGCTCCGGGAGGGGATTGAAGCTTCGGAAAGGAGGTACAAAAGTGACCCACCTTTTCTATACGGATGACCTCAAATTATTCGCCTCCAGTCGCTCCCATCTTGTGGAATTACTAAAAATCACTTGTAAATTTAGCAATTCTATTGGAATGGAGCTGGGGCGGAATAAGTGTGCGGTCCTTCATGTTGAAAGGGGAAGGGTTGCTAACTCTGAGGGCATAGACTTATCTATGCCCGTCAAATTAAGAACCCTTTCCGAGGCTGAAACACACCGATACGTGGGTATGTCACAGAACATTGGTATCGATGAGGCTGGTATGAAACAGTCAGTTTACGACATGTTTTATGCACGCTTGACCAAAGTGCTTAACAGCCTTTTGTCCGGTGTGAATAAGGCACACGCATATAATGGCTGGGTCATAACTGTCCTCATGTATACCTTTGGCATACTCAAGTGGACTCAAACTGAACTTAACGCCCTGGATAGAAAAGTTCGCACTACCACGACGTCCCATAGGATGCAACATCCTAGATCGTCGGTAATGAGGCTGTACTTGCCGCAAAAGCATGGCGGGCGTGGCTTTCTGAGCGCACTCACCATGCATAATCGTGAAGTGTGCAGCCTCCGTGATTACTTCCTGGCGAGATCGGATGATCCATTCTATAATGACGTCATTTCTAGTGATAAAAAAAGCTTACCCCTCTATCCTTAGCCAACGAGCAGTAGCTGGACCTGGCAGTACAAAGCATTTCCGACCGGGAGACCGTATGGAAGGAGAAGGAGCTCCACAGGAGATACAGTCACCTCCCTCAACTGGCTACCTTTCGGTGACCTTTTCGGGGAAACCGAGGGTTTTGTCTGTGCAATACAGGATCAGGTTATTAAGACCAACAACTATCGGAGATACATCCTAAAGGATGGCATCGTCGACGACTGTCGAGCTTGTCGCCATCCCGGTGAGTCACTTAGGCATGTCATCTCCGGTTGTTCGGCGCTTTCTAATTCTGAGTACTTGCACAGGCACAACCTAGTAGCCAGAATTCTACACCAGGAGTTCGCTCTGAAAAACGGTCTCGTGGACCGGAAATTGTCGTATTACATGTACTTGCCGGAAGCCGTGCTTGAAAATTACCGCGCCAGGCTCTACTGGGACCGGGCCATCATCACAGATAGGACTATTCTTGTGAATCAGCCTGATATTGTGCTGATGGACCGGGCACAGTCAAGGATATTTTTGATCGACATTACTATTCCATATGACGAGAACCTCGTGAAAGCCGAAACAGATAAACGAACAAAATATCTGGACTTGGCTCACGAGGTAACCGACATGTGGGGTGGTCTGCCGGCCGAAATTATTCCTGTAGTCGTCTCTGAGAATGGGCTAATCCCAGTCAGCCTCTCGGGTCATCTGAGGCGACTGAGAATACGTGACGGACCGCTCCGAGCTCAAATGCAGAAGGCGGTGCTCCTCGATACCGCCCGCATCGTCCGCCGGTTTCTTTCCCTTTCCTCCTAACCATCGGCCGTTTGGTCTCCCCTGCCGAGGGCTTCCATCTGGTTGGATCTTATTTATTTATGTATTTTTTGTATTTATTTTATTTTATTGATATTTATGTATATTTATCTTTTCATTTTAACTTAAAATTATATATTTATAGAACCCAACCAGATGAGAAAATTATATAGATATCCCAAAATTAGTAATAATATTATTAAGTATTATTATTAGTTATTAAGTATTATTATTTAGCAAGATTATTACATAGTGTTACTATTATCTTGATGGATAAACCTATTACATGCACAATATTTACAGTGGTCATTAGCCCATAAAATAGGATATTATACCTGTCAGGGGCTAAATAAATAGTTACCTAGAAATTATAGTTCCTTAGACGGGGTGGATAATCGGAATTCATATATATTTTTTTTGGCTTTTATTATTTATTTTATTATTATTTATTTATATATGTAAATATGATAAAAAATGGCCGGCTCAACCGGGGAGGGATCACGCTCTCACAGAATATCAGCGTAAAGTAGCAGCTTAAATAATGCTGTTTTTCCTGTGGTGAGTTTAGAGATAGTGAGACCCTTTTTTACTGGAAACGAGGCATTCCATCTTTGTCCTCAGGGGTGACAATTCGTCTGCATTTTGATTAAATTTATATGTCTATGGGTCACAGCATCCACTTACCATCATGTGGAACGTGGGCTCGTTTGTCACTTACTCTATAAAAAATGCTTACGCGCTACGACTGCCGAACACAATTAAAGGCTAATTTTAAAAATTAAATTGTAAATGAAACAAAGTGTTTTAGTATATTTTGACATTTATTGGTACTAATCATCAATCTTGATCTAGAAATATTTGACCCAAATTCAGACCGTCAAAGTGAGTAACTTTTTATTGAAATTTACTTCTGAAATGAAAAAGAAATCCAAGCAATATATCCTAATCAGCTAAAAATTTTGTAAGGCAAACTTATTTCATTTCAGAAGAAAATTTTGATAGTTGCTGAATAAAAATTTATTAATTATAATTATCAAAATTTGAAAGATAAAAAACATGATTGTTAAGAGACGGATTCTAGTAATTTGTTGATTTTTATTAATTCTGTTGATTTTCCGAAAGAAAACGTATAATTACTAATACTAAAAAAATTGTCAGATCTGTTGAACTTTTTCTTATTTTCTTAAATAATATGATTAGCAAAACTATCTGTTAATAAATAATAGAAATTTTCTGACAAATTATTTTGGTATGTATTTTATTATTCCGAATAAAGATATCTTCGATTAAATAAACTTTAAGAATAAAAATAACTTTATATATATATATAACTTTAAAAATACAAATTTCAAAGAAGAAAATAACCGTTCCACGCTGACTTGAGTGGCTGGACCATCTAAAATAATACATGACAATTTGTAGAGACGAGAATGAGTGTTTTTTCCGACCTCCAGTGATTTATTGTTTTCTGTCGACTTAACAAGAGGTTCCTTCAGAGTAAGAGAATAAATAAGAATGTGGGCGCATGCTATGCGTTCTTAGTCTTACATGGTTCTGTATATCGCTTTGAACCTCCACATATTTAGTGCAAACAAAATCTTCTAACTTTTTTTTGAAATAAAAAACTATAACTATATAAGCACTGATGGATTTACAACTCCGCTCGAGTATCGTCACCAGCCGCTCTGTCGTAGCCGAAAGCTACGTTGCCGCTTCGCGTGACACGTGCTGCGAGATCTGGCGTAGACGTCTGCATATATGCAGACGTCTACGGGCTACTGTAAAGTAGGATACAGATTTCATCTCATTTTTAAGAAGATTATGAAGAAATTAGTTCGTCGCTCTGCTCTAGACATGACATTACTCAGACATCAAAATGTTACCTGAAAATATAGCCGAGCACGTGGTAAATGAACACATAAATATTTCAATTTCATTGATGCCGACAGGATCGAACCCAGGCGGCTTGGTTACTGTAATTACGGTAAACGCTTAGCTCTTGAGCTGCTATGGCAAAGTATGTATTAAACTACTTTAGTTATTCTGATTAAACAGAATATTTCTCTTTTACGAGATAATAAGAGAGATTTTAGTTCTTTTATAAAAATAACCCAGAACAAAAAAAAACTTCATCCAAAGTTCACAAGGAGGTCAAAACATGTTCCGCTTTTTCTTGTCAATTATTTTTGTACAAAGTAAAGCTCTTCAATATTTTGATTCGAAATGTACGAAGTGCCGTTCATATTATGTATATTGTATTATGCATTTTTTTACTGCCTCGTTGGGTTAATGGTTGTAGTAGTACGACTGCAGGTCATGGGGTCCTGCGTTTGAATCCCGGG